GAACTCCTGGGCAAAGGGGTGAAGAGGAAGTCTGAGGCCGTACTCAAACATTTTTAAGTAAAGAGTGACCCATCCCTCTAGAGGATTGTCAGCTCTTTCCCCTTCCTCCGGAATCCTAAGGAAGATGTTGTTTGAAATTTTAAACCCCCTACGGAGGGGTCCAAGATAGTGCTCGGGCATTTTAGAAGGGTATTCCAAACCCTGGCCCGAGGTAGAAGTGTTGCTATCCTCCCCATCGTCCGAAAACCTAAAGTTCTCTATCTCTTTCAGCTCAGACTCTAACCTAAGAGCTAAGTCCTCCCCAGAATCACTTGGTTTAGGGGGAGAACTACTTATGGTCCGACCTGCGCTACCTAGGCTATCGCTACTGGAAGGGGAAGATAAGAAAACCACCATATTTGAAAGAAAGAGTAAAAACAAGGAAAAGTGACTGACCTACGAAAGTGTTTGAACTGGTTTCAGATCGAACTGCAGGAATTCAGGGAACGTAAGGTTTGACCTGAAGTCTCGGAACTATTTATAGCTAATCAGAAAAATCTCTGCACCGTACACGTGTAATGAACGAGCGGCTAGGATCATCTCGAGATCCGTAATGACGGAATACTTGAGTAATCCGACAGCCTGGCAGATCGAAACGTCTTCCACAACGGTTATATTCTCTCTACAAATTAGAAGTCGCCACGTGTCCAAAATCGATTCGGATCAACTTCTCTGCCAGGTCGAGATCAAATCTGACAAAGAGGGGGCCAATGTTTGGGGGTAAAAATACCTTGGACACGTGGAGGACGCTTATTGGTGTCTAAGGATTAAAATATCCCAGCTCCACCTCGGACCTGCCGAAGAGGTCGGGTTCGCTCATGGGGAAAAGGCTGTGTACATGTCGAAGTCCGATCTGAAGGAGGTTCGACCTACACGGAACCCGACAGGTCCGACATGAAAAAAAAAACATGTAACCGCCGGTCGTGAGTACTGTCGGGTCCCCCACCTATAAATAGAGGGCCTTATTTCACGCTCAGGTAGAGAATCTCACCTCGAACTAAATACGGAGTCCGACCTATACTGACTTGAGCGTCAGAATGTTTACCCTCTTATGCAGGTCCACTCTTGTGTTCAGGTCGAGCCGGGGACCGGGTTCGAGCTTGGTTCGTAAAGTATCGTTGTGCAAACCTTTGCATAAACAGTTTTAAAGAACAATAAGTTAGAATTAGTTACAAAAAGAACAATTAGCTAGAAATTATTTAAAAAAAAAACAGAGAGAAAAAAAACGAAAAGGAAGCATTCAGAATCAAGGTTCTTATTTTGTACGGTGGTTTGATAATGTAGTGATGTCTTATTTCTTGCTTTTATTAAACATCTAAATGTTTTTAAATTTCTCCTTTTTCATTTTAAAAAAATATATGTTGGGGACTGTGCGCGGCCGACTTGGGTGTGACGAGACCAGAAAGAACGACCTATCAGGTCGGTCTTGGTGGCAAACAAATGAGGTAACTGTACGATCGCATGTGGTAGAGTAGGGATCGGACTGGTCACTGTTAGGGACCAACGATCACTCGTCAGGCCCCTCACCGAATAGGGAATTATCCCAATGAAATGTATATCTGGTTACCTACCACTACAAATACGCCACTCCCTCATGGCCTAGTTATGAAAAAATCTGTCTGATGCCCTACCTATTGAGATCTTTGCAGGTACCTCGAGAAATCGCCTAAGTGTATTCGGCCGACCTCCGAAGTCGTTTTCCATACCTCGACCAAATCTTGCATAAACAATATATATGTTTCAAAAGTTGTATACAACTTTTAAAAACAATAAAAATGTTTGTTCTTTATTATTTTTGTTGTTTCATTTTTTTTCGTACTTGACAGAAGTCCTATGTTAACAAAATAATGGATAAGACTTCTGAATATTTTATTTTTGATTCGTTTTAAAAGTAAAGTTCATTTTTGTATTTTGAGAATTTAAAATCTAAAAAACAAAAAGTCAGAAGTAGCCACCAAGTACATTTCTCTCTTTTTTTTTTTAATAAATAAAAACAGAAAAATAATTATCAAAGTTGTTAAATTGATTAATCTTTTGAAGTATAACTTGATTTAAATATGTTTTATTTTTATAATAAAAAAACAAAAGTTATTAAAATAATAGTTTTAAAAACAAATTAAAAAAATACAATCAAATACCCATAAAAACCTTAATTTGACAAATATTTTAACGAATATATATATATTTCTATTTTGAACATGATAAACTATTTCCATTTATAAGGATAATCCAAGAAGGTTAAAATATTATTGAAAACATCGATCACGATTGGATGTAACAAATACACTTGACTATGGTTAAAGCACCTATCTCCTTTAGTCCAAAAAAATAATAATAAATAAATAAAACACCTATCTCCAATTAGAAAAATGTGAGATTCATGTTGTACTAAAAAAGTACAAACAATGCATGAGACTTGTTAGGAGTTATATTGGAAAGCCTTTTTCATTTTTAAAGATAAAAAAAATATTCCTCCAAAAAAATAAAAAAAAATGTCATTAAACTTATTTGGAGAGACAAATTTGTTTTTAGAAAATTTTTATTAACAAAAATATATATATATATTTGCCTTTTTATTGGTTGCACAATCCATTTATTAAACAACTAACGATAAGATAGTGGTGAGAATGAAAATATTACTAATTTTTTATATGTCAATTACTGCTTACTTATGTTTGCTTTGATACTAAAATATTACTAATTGAAAATTTATAATCTAAAATAGACATTTTAGAAGTTTAGAGAACAAAAATGAAATAGGATTAAAAGTTTAAATGATGAAAATATACATTTTAAAAATTCACCGACTAAAATAAAATATTCAAAATAAAATAAAAAACTTTGTATTGTTGAGGTTGTTATATAAGGATAAATGAAAATTTGAGGATAAAATATATGTTTGAAACTAAAAGAAGAAACTAGTTTTGAAAACTAATTTACAAACAATTTTTCTTAACAAATTTTTTATCGGGAAAATTATTTGGTAACAGTAAACAAATTAATATTGGTATGAAAAATAAATACTGATTTTTACAGTTAGTCCATGTAGTTTAAAGTTGGTAACATTTTAGTCCCTATGGTCAGAAATTTTATTAAAATTAAACATCAAATTTTATCATATAACAATTTAATATTTCTAATTTATAAACATATTTTGTCCCTTTTCAGTTTGTCAATCTATATATATAAGAAACTTAACAAAAATTTTTTTTTTACAATAAGAACTAAATCGATACCTACCTTAAATTACAAAGATTAAATTATTATCAGTTTGAAAGTACAAGGATTAAATCGTTATAAACTAAAGTTTAGAGACTGAATTGTTACTTTTAGTGAAATTACAAGGATCAAAATATTTTTTAACTTAAAAAAAAAAAGGAAAGAAAGAAGGAAGAATCAGTGAAAATAATTACTCTTGGATCTAAATGAGAGACTTTTTCAACATCCAAAAGACCAAGAATTCCATGATATTACCATTTCCATCCCTTATTGTAATATTCTTGAGAAGTTTTTTTTTTTTATTTTGTTTTATTTATTTGTGGAAAGGTTCACTAAATAATAAACAAATAAATAAATTTTATATATATCGAAAAAAATTAACTTTTACTTCCATTCTTGAACTTAGTAAGATCTATCAATTTTCACGATAAACTTTCAATTTCATCAAATTGGCCTAGACTTAAACAAATAGTACATTTATCTTACGCTAATTTGCTTCTAATTCACCCACTAATTTCAACAAAAGAAGCTAAGGTAAAAATCTCCAAAACTCATAAGGTAAAAATCTCCCAAAACATTAGTTTTAATGAAAATTAAGTTTTGCCCAATAACTATTCAAAAACTAAAAAATTTCAAAAAAAAAAAAAAATAATAAATAAATAATAATAATAATAACAAATCTAATAGTGTTTTTCTCTAAATTCTCAACAAATTCCTATCAAACGTCGTTGTCTCGACTATGCTATCGGAGGCTCTAGAGAAGTCGGAATAAGAGAGCACTTATCAACAAATTTGAACATAGTTCAACTGGTTGAGACATATATCCCGATCTTTTATGTTCAGATCATGGTGTACTACAAAAAAAACTTGTGTTGTTGTACTAAAACAAGTTTTATGGTACCAAACCAAAGCATCACTTTTCTAATCTTTCCCTCTTTTGACATTTTTTTTTAATTTTGTTTATTTTAAAATTTAAACTTATATAATAATAATACTATCACTTTAGGAAGAATTAAAAATAGTTTAAAATTGAGGCGCAAATATAGTTTCACTCTATTTTATACTTTAAATTAAAAAGTTCCGTATTATTAAATTGTCATGTAATGGTACTTCAACATAATATAATCTGTTGTACTATTGTTATTACCTCAAATTATTGAAATAACTTTAAAAATAGAATTAATAATGAAAATTCCTCTATTTTTTTTTCATGTTTTGAATACAACCATTTGGAGTACATTTTTTATTGAAAAATTAAAAGTTAAAATATTAGTTTACATCGTGATCATGTCTACCATATTAAATAATTTCTCGACCACACTTCTAAGTAGTTAAAGCATCAGTTTACATCGTAATGTCTACCATATTAAATAATTTCTCGATCGCACTTGTAAGTAGTAATATTTAGATAAATCTTGTACTATATATGTATATATATAGATTAATTTTAAACTCTATATTTATATATATCAAAACAATACTTACACCTTATTAAAAAGAAAAATAAAAACTTACACAAACCATAATTAACACCACAATTAACTTTTCTCTCTCCCTAATTTTAACACATTTGACCAATCGAAGAGCCCCAACAAATCAAAACCCAGAACCATTTCAACGTTACCTTTAAAAAGCCATTGAATTGTAACAAAAGCCTAAAATCAATCCCAAACCAGCAACAAAAAACTTCCCCCTCCTTTAAAAGCCCCCTCCCCCTCCTCCATCCTCACCCAGCAATCAACAATGGCCTCTCTTCTAAGAAAGCAACCATTGATAGCTTGCTTTCTCCTCCTCTTCCTCTCCCTCCTCTCTCCATCCCTCTCCCTCACCGACACCGAAACCGCCTACATCGGCCGTCGCCAACTCCTCCATCTCAAAGAACACGACGAGCTCCCCGCCGATTTCAAGCTCGAGATCGACATTCCCGATACCTTCCCCAATGAGAGGTTGAAGAAGGCCTACGTTGCCCTCCAGGCTTGGAAGGTCGCTATTTATTCCGACCCCGAAAACATCACCGCCACCTGGCAGGGTGCCGACGTTTGCTCTTACACCGGCGTCTTTTGCGCCCCGGCGCTCGATGATGCCAACATCAATGTCGTCGCTGGGATCGACTTGAATCACTACGACATTGCTGGGTATCTCCCCCCGGAGCTAGGCCTGCTCACTGATTTGGCTCTCTTCCATATCAACTCCAATCGCTTTTGCGGGATCATCCCCACCAGCTTCATCAAGCTTATTCTCATGTTTGAGTTTGATATCAGTAACAATCGCTTCGTTGGAGAGTTCCCGGAGGTAGTCCTTGAGTGGCCCGAGGCGAAGTACCTCGATCTCAGGTAGATATTTTAAACGCTGATGTCTATGGAAATGTCTGAAGGAAGAATTTCAATCATTCAATCCCTTGTTTTTTTTATAGGTTCAATGACTTTGAAGGGGAGCTTCCACCGAAGCTGTTCACTCTGGAATTCGACGCCATTTTCTTGAACAACAATCGGTTCACGTCGACCATCCCAGACACAATCGGAAATTCAACTGTCTCTGTTGTATCGTTCGCGTACAATGAGTTCCACGGATGTATTCCAAGCACCGTCGGGAACATGCCGAACGTCAATGAGATGTTGTTCATCGGCAACAATATGAGCGGCTGCTTCCCGTTGGAGTTGGGGAACATAGCAAATCTCACTGTGTTGGATGTTAGCAACAATGGGTTTGTCGGAAAATTGCCTGAAAGTTTGTCTGAGACGACGAAATTGGAGATCTTGGATGTAAGCAACAACGAGTTGACAGGGTCTGTTCCGGTAGGAATTTGTAAGCTACCGAAATTGGACAATTTTACTTTCTCGTACAACTATTTTGACTCGGCGGATCCGACGTGCATGGAGGATAAGAATGTGAACAAGATTTTTGATTATGATCAGAATTGTTTACCGAATCAGCCCGACCAGAGGGATGCCGAGAAGTGTGCGTCTGTGGTGAAGAAGACAGTGGATTGTGGAAGTTGTGGGTCTGGTTCTCCACCCACTCAAGATGATTCTTTTGATCAGTCTCCATCACCAAGGACGAGGGCACCACCACCGGAGCAAACGATCGAGGCTGGGGCGCCGCCACCGGAGCAAACGATCGAGGCTGGGGCGCCGCCGCCGGAGCAAACGATCGAGGCT